CTTTGACTGAAATGATAATTAAATGCGTCTTATTGATCATGGATTTAGAGCTGGTGGGGACCTCAGAGGTCATGTGGTCTAATCCCTTTACAGATAGGAAAACTGAGGGCTTGAGAGATCATAGGATGAAACATGATTGAATCACAGACCTAAAGGTAGAAGGGACTTTACAATTGCCCAGGCAGGGGGTTCTTCACCTTCTGTGTGTGCTGGACCCCTCTGGCAAGTTAGGCAGGCAAAGACCATGGACCCCTTCTGAGAATCATATTTTTAAATGCATCAAATAAAATACATAGGATTTGAAAACAGTTATTGAAATATTAAAAAGTAATTTCAGGTACCCCAGGTTATGGTCTGATTAAGTCAAACCTATCATTTGGGAGATAAGAAAACTGAGAACTATGAGGTCATAGATTTATGGGATCAGAAGATTATAGATTGAGTTACTGGGGAATTTAGAGATTGTTTAGTCTAATCCCCTAACTTTATAGATGAGGCCACCACTGTGTTCTAGAGAGGTCATGAAATCATTGAATCATAAATTATAGGTTAAAAGGGACCTAAAGGTCATCTAGTCCAACCCCTTCAGAGAGTCTCCGAGTGGGACAGTGATTTGCCTAAGGTCACACACAGTCAATTTGTATCAGAGACAGGACTTAAATTCAGGTCTTTCTTTCTCCAAGGATAGCCTTCTATCCATCAGCCCATCTCTGTATCTCCATCCTACTCCCAAACCTGGTGCCTAGTACAACATCTGAAGCATAATTGGTGCCCAACCACTATTTTTTGGAGGAATATAAATTGATTTTTCATTGACTTTTAAAACTTAGACTCACAATTTCTTTTTAAAGTCCATGATGAGATATAGTCTTCTGTGGATTGGTTTCATTTCTATTTTCAACAGTTTTCTGGGTGAATATATTCTAGTTGGACAGCACCTGCTGTCTAATACTCACTTGGGGCAGTGGATACTGGCCAGGCTGCCCCCTTTTCTCTGAAAATGGGTGAGAAATAAAAAAGCAAGGGATTATGAGAATAGGGCTGAATTTGGTTGACCCAAAGTCCTTCATCTCCTCTCCTCAACTTTGCTATCATCTTAATAGAGAGGGAAAGGGATCGTTATGTTTTACTCATATTATTTTTTGCTCATGTTTCTCCAGATCTTCCTCTCTATCTATTTGTGCCTCTATATGGGGGTGAATGGTTAACACCAGATTCTCAACTCTAACCCTGAGTCTTTATGCTGGAGAAGAGGAAACAGAGGAAACTACTCCAATGCTTCCTGAGGCCAGAGAATGTCTTGTTTATTTTGGTATACTACCCAGGGCCTGGCATGGTACCCTACACAGAACAGCTTCTTTGCTTTAGTTCCTATTTTCCACTAGTCAAAATGCTGGGCATTTGGGTTATTCATTCTGAGATTACTGAAGCTCACCATGGAAAGGTGATTTTTGTATTTTTTTCAACCAACGAGAAATTAGACCTGAAGAGATTTCTTGAACTTCAAGGTCTTTTGCTAGAAAGGCATTTGCTGTCATTCCTTTTTGATTTCTAGGATCCTAGATTTAGATCTGGAAGGGACCTCAGGTGCTATCTTGCATACTCTTCCTCATTTTGCAGATGAGAAAATTCAGGATGAATGACTTTCGCAAGGTCACGAAGGAAATGTGAGAGATGGGATTTGAACTCAGGGCTTCTGACTCTAGACCTAGTGTTCTTTTTGACCTCGGTACCAACAATCTACTAGTGTCATGCCAGTCATGAAACATGGCATCATAGACCATAGACTGAGTGCTGGAACAGACTTTAGACACCATCTAGTCCAGGGATTCTTAACCTGGGGAGAAGGGGTGTCCATCAACTTGTTTAATTTTGAATATTTTAATGGCTGTATTTCAATAAAATTGGTCTCCTTTGAAGTCTTATGGATTTAATTTCATGTATTGAAAACATGGCAGCTGGGTGGTGCAGGGGATAGAGTTCTGGGCTTGGAATCAGGAAGACTCATTTTCATTAGTTCAAATCTGGTCTCAGACATTTACTAGTTGTGTGACCCTGGGCAAGTCACTGAACCCTGTTTGCCTCAGTTTCCTCATCTGTAAAAATGAGCTGGAGAAGGATGTGGTAAACCACTCCAGTATCTTTGCCAAGAAAACCCCAAATGGGGTTACAAAGAGTTGAACACGATTGAAATAACTGAACAACAACAAACATTGAAAACATTATTCAGAGGTGTCCATAGGTTTCACCAGACCACCAAAATGGTCCATGACACACAAGCTAAGAACAGTCTAGTCCACTTCCCCCATTATACAGACAAGGAAAGTGAGACCAAGAGAAGTTAAGTGACTTCCCCAAGATCACGCAAGTAGTGTGTAGCAGAGCCAGGATTTGAACCCAGGTCTTCTGACCGTAAAGTCAACACTTCTCCCACTGTACTATGCTGTCTTAAAAGTGAGGAACAGACTATTGTTGCATTCCTATTGAGTGGAAGTTAGGGTTAGGGAGGAGATGATCATAAATCTAGAGTTGGAAGTCAGCTCAAAGGCTATCTGGTCCAACCTCTTTTTTTATACATGAAGAAATGAAGGCCAAGAGGAGTCAAGTGACACGCTCAAAATCACACAAGAAGTAAATGACAGAGACAGGATTTGAACCCAAGTCCTTTGACTCCTTTGTACTGTACCAGGGTGCCTCCTTGAAAGTTTACAAGGTCATAGAATCATAGCTTTAAAGTTGGAAGCCATCAAGCCTCTCATCCTATAGATAAGGAGAGGCGGAGAGAGGTGAAATCATTTAGAATCATGGCCTTAGAGCTAGAAGGGTCCTCAGAGGTCATCTATTTCAACCCCCTCACTTTACAGGTGAAGAAACTGAAGCCCAGAGAGGGGCAGTGACTTGTAGGTCATGTAGCTAGGAAATAGCCAAGTATGGGTTTGAACCTATGTCTTGATTCCAAATCCAGTGTTCTTTTCACTCAAGTTTCAGGTGACAGCTAAGAGGATTGCCTCATTGTCATTTACCCAATGCCTTCATCAACAAGTCTGAGCTTTGAGTTGACTTTGGCACTGAATCAATAGCCAGGGAAGAGAATGGAGGGCAGAAGTCAGACATTTTAGGGAATCTTTAGATTGGGAATGAACCAGTAGCATTCTATTTGAGGGAGATCCCGAAAGGCTTTCTTTAATTGCAGAAACGCTTCAAGGCAATGGCTCCATCCTGTGGTATTAAAATGATCAGAAGAACCGAGTGTAAGGACTGTACTTTGTAATTGCTTGGGTTTCTTCAAAGGTGTTTGCGTCCTAGGGGCAAGTGAAGAGGGAACTTGACTTTCTTCTGATTATAAGGTCATCCCTTGACTCGCCTTTATCTGCTTTGAGAGTTTTGGACAGAAGTCTGTTTTAATGGCAGCTGCGGGGATTGACTGATTTCATCCAATTCTTTCATTCACTTCCTTTCCTTGGTCACACCTGGTCATCTTTGCAACTCCATTCAAGGAATTCTGGATCTTTAATGAATCACAGAGGATTGGTAAGGGGGTTTCTGAAGCAGGAGGCCATAGAAGAAGAGGTCTTGGCTTTTTCTTGAAGTAACTTGTCCAAGGTCATTGAGATAGCAGCAGAATTAAGATTTGAACTCAGTCTTCTGACTCTGAATTCTCCTTTCACTGCCATACTACTTCCCTGTAATACTGTTGTCTTGGTATTTTGGAGGCTAGGGAGAGGGTAGGGACTAGATCTGATATTTCATTGGTATTAGGAACTCCAGAGTAAGGAAATTCCTTCTGCCCATGCAGGTTATCACTTTCTCTGCAAGTCATGGTCATAGAGAATTGACTAGAACACTGAGCAGTTATGTTACTAGTTCAGGGTTACTCAGACAGTATGTGTCAAAGGTAGGATTTACACTCACATCTTCCTGATTCCAAGTCAACTACTCTGTCATGCTGCCTCTGAGTTTAATTTTGGAACTTTTAAGTAAGCCTTGATATGGACTCCCCATTGCTAGGGGCTTTGACCTCACTCTTCAGAGCAGATACAACTTAAACTCTCTCTTTTTCATGGAGTAAAATCTTCCATGATTTAAAACCCAGAATCTCTTATTCTTGTGTGTGTGTGTGTGTGTGTGTGTGTGTGTGTGTGTGTGTGTGTGTTTATATGCATGTATGCATGTGCTGTGTAATTCAAGGAGATGAGACCAGAAGGCCCTGGGACATTGCTTCTCCCCTAATTTCACCCCAGTTTAAAGTACAAGAGGCAGGCTACCTCATTGGTCATTGGACCAAGTCATGCCTCAGACAGGGGATTGAAGCTCTTGAAGCTTTTCCAATCCCGAGATCCCATAATTCTCTAAACTGTTGCCATTACCCTCTGGGGGAGTTTGACCCTCACTAGGATTGGGAAATGAACCATGTCGGGGAAGGGACCTGTGAGCATTCATAGACGGTTCTGTTCAAATGCTCGCTAATTTTTAACTCAGCTTTTGAGTGCCCAAACCATAATGGAAGCAAGCTTGCTAATGTCAAACTTTGGAAGTATTCCTAAAAAGGACTTGAAAAAATCCCTCCTTTTAGTTCCTTTCATTCTTAAGCCATCATTATAGCTGTGCTTCACCTGCCTACTTTTTCTATTTCTAGTCTTTTTCCTTCTTGTATCTGCCTTTGGACTTGCTCTGACATATTTCCCTTCTCTCCAAATACTTGTTTTTTTCCACGTCTTGTCCTACCCAAGGTTGCCTTTTTTCTCATTTCATTATGTGTGCCATCTATTGCCACAACACTTTTCTTCTTGGTTTTCTACAGCGCTTCCTGATTTTCTGTTTCTTTCTCATAGTCCTTGCCTCTGTCTGTTTATTCCTTCTCTCCATTTTCCTGTTTTTTCCTCTGTGTTCAGTATTTCTATCTGCAGTCTCCCTCCTCTGCTTTTTCTTCTTTCCTCTGCTCTGCTGTCTCTCTTCTCTTCCCTTATTCTGCTCCCCTCCTGGGGGTTTCTCTGGCCCACCTTTCCTCCTCCTCTCAGCCTTCGTTCTCCTGTTGGTGGATGGGGGCTGATACTGCAAATATCACAAAAATAATTTCATTCAGAACAGATGGTTCCTGTGGTGCTGTTGATGACAGGGCTTCTGGGCCAGCCTATGGTCACTGAGCTTCATGGGTTGGGAGACTGAGTCTAGGGACTGTCTTTCATAATTGCCTGTGGTCCCAACACAGGTAAGCAAAAGCAAAAAGCATTTTTCCTATCCTCCCCTTTGTTCTCTAATTTAACACCTGGATTTTGGAGCTCGTAATCCTGAGCCAATTGTGCCCCCCATCAGATTGGGTTCAGTTTCATTCTCCTATTTATGTTGTAAAGATAAGAAGGGAAAGGAGATAGATACTCCCTCGTCCTCCTCCATTTCTGAAAAATTCACAATCATGTTCATGCAGTGAGCACCTCTTGATCATTTGATCCCAGATTCATTCAGAAACCAGTAGAAGGTACTCTCTCATTGCACATTGGCAGTATAAGACCTTCCCTCTATGCAGCTGGACAAGACATTTACCCAGAAGGAGAGGGGAGGGGATTCGATTTAGAACCCATTTGGGTACCCTTAAATTCCTAACTCTCTCTTTGGGCTTTGAACTGGGAGCTTTACATGCTGATGGTGGCCAAGGACCGGTCACATGTGTCACTGTGCTTAATGTAGGCTTTTGCAGAATGATGCCATTAGTTAAAACACATGCTGGCTGTTTTTTTTTTTAAAACAAGAAATCTTGAGGAGATCCAAAAGAGATCCCTTTGCTTCAATTTCTCCTGGCCTTTCTTTCTCCCCTTGTTTTCCTTATTCTCAGCTCTTTCCCTGACACCAATTGTCTCTCTCTTACTCTTCTACACATTCCAGCCCAAAAAATAAAAGATGATTCAAATTATATTACATTGTTTTCATCCCAAAGACAAGTCTTAGAAGACTTGCTCACAGCCTATATCCCAGAAAGAAAATCCTTCCATGGTTCTATCATGGCAGCCATTTCCTTTAAATAAAGTAGAAATTTTGATTTGGCATCTCTATATGAGAGGCAAGGAGGCAGAATGGGTAGAGAGAGCTGACGTTGGAGTCAGGAAGACCTGGGTTCAAGCCATGCCTCTAACGTATATAGGCTGTGTGACCCTGGTCAAGTCACTTAGCCTCTAGGTCAGTGGTGTCAAACTCGAACACAAACAGGGCCACTAAATCATACATAAAGATGCCTGTGGGCTGCATATTGACTTAGAAAACCACATATTAACACTATCTATGTTCTATTGTATTTTTATTTATTTTTATTAAATATTTCCCAGTTGCATGTTAATCTGGTTCCTGCCACTCTGTGGGGTGCTGGGGGGGTAAGGAGGCTTCAGGTTTCACACCTCTGCTTTAGGCAACTCTGCCACTGTAACTTCCAGAGGAAGTGCTGACTTATATTGATGGAGAAACTTTCCTCACCTGGGAGTTCCCTATGCAAATGAAATCACAGGTCCAATCCCTACTTCTATCACCTATTTCAGTGTAAACACAGAGAATTCCTCTTTCAGAATGATTTGTCTTTCTAGATCAGAGTGCTCATGACCTCTAATAATAGTCCTTTGATAGCCCTGGTTTGAAGTTAAAATCATGAAAAAAAAAATTAATGATTAAAATGGGGACATGATTAAGAAAGATAAGCCTAGAACATAGGTTAATACTAATAATTAATTTTAATAGGAGGGTAAGATACTTGTTAAACCATTATCTTATTTTTTCTTTTTTTGGAGGCAGTCAAGGTTAAGTGACTTGCCCAGGGTCACACAGCTAGTAAGTGTTTGAGTCTGGATTTGAACTCAGGTCCTTCTGATTCCATGGCCAGTGGTGCTCTATCCAGCTGCCTCTAAACCATTCTCTATAATTAATATTGGTTGATTACTGAGTATACTAATTTTTAAAAGGCACATGATCTAAAAATTGCACTGGGTGCACAATCAGTGAATAATTAATTAATGTTATTAATTAATACTACTTTTCCTGGGGGGATAAAATACTAGTTTAACAATTTTCCTCAATTAATGGTGATTAACAAATGATTGTAATGCTTTTTAAAAAAGATATATGATTTAAAAGTATCTGGCACACAGTTAGTAATTAATGTTATTAATTAATAATAATTTTCTGGGGGATAAACCACTTGTTTAACAATTTTCCATGTTTAACAATGCTTATTGCAATGCTTTTAAAAAAGATACATGACTCAAAAGTACCTGGCACACAGTTAATAATTAATAATAATTATTTTCCTAGAAGAAATAAGATACATAATCTATAATTAATTAATTATTAATAATGATTTAATTAACACTATTAATGAATACTTGTTATTTTCCTAGGGGAAAGAAGATACTTGTTTCACCATTCTCTATAATTAATAATGACTAATTAGTGATTATGATGATTTTAAAAGGTACATGATTAAGAAGATATGCCTGGCACTGAGCAGGTGCTTAAAAAATTCTTGTAGATTGATTGATTAGGGGAACAAGGTAGAGAATTAAGTAAGCCTAAAGCTAACAGGACTGACAATCAGCTGGGGAGTTAAGGGCCTCTGATGAGGTGGGGGGGGGGATATTTCTGAAATATTCTGCTAGGTATGACATGGTACCCTTAACTGAAGCTTGCCTGTAAAGGCCACTACGACCTATGCTAGGGAGAGAAGGCTTCCTCTCATCCTAACCTACCTTTTGGGCTTTGGGCATATCGGTGTGGCGTTGGGCACGCACCGAGCGAGCTGACTTGGCTGGCTTAATTGGCGCACAGTACATCTCTAGCCGCCTCAGATCACAGCTCCGGAAGCAGCACTCATCCACGATCCCTGTGTGGTGTAAACGCCGACTGCTAGAGCCATACCCAGTGGGCTTGCCTGGATAAGACAAAGAAGAGAATGGTGTAGCCTTAGAACAGAACATATTTCTGCTTAAGGTAAAAAAAAAAAATAATGACGAACATTTCTATAGCATCTTAAGGTTTGCAAAATTCCTTACCTGAATTATCTCATTTTACCCTCACAACAGCCCTGTGAAATCAGTGCTATTACTAGCCCCATTTTACAGGTGGGGAAACTGAAGCTGAGGGGTGAAGTGACTTGCCGAGAGTCATACTGCTAGTAAACGTCAGAGGCAGTAATGAAAGTCAGACCTTCTTTGAGACAAACTACAACGTTTTCAACCTTAATTCCTAATTTTTCTTGTTACATAGTTAATTCGGTTCAAAAGAGCAGTTATTCTACATTTAAACTAGGAAATGAGAATTTTGGTCCATCTGTCTGTTAATTCATTCAACACATATTGACTGGATAAAGCCTTATGCTGGGTATCAAGGTGGAGTGTCCAAAGTCCATTATGCACCATCCTCATTTAGGAAGTCATAATGATGTCCTTTAAGAAAAATGGTGACCTATATTTTATAGGTGAAGGAGCTCCCAGGGTGGAAATTCCCTTCACTGATATAGATCAGCAACTTCTCCGTTTTAGAGATTTGCCTGAGAAATTCAGTGACTTGCTCCCAGTCATATAGTTATTAAGTGTCAGAGGCAAGGTTATATACAGGTCTTCCTTCAACACATTACACTAGAAAGAATACTGGCTTTGGAATCAACGGACCTGGTTTAAAATGCCACCATGGTCACTTACTACTGGTGTGAACTTGGCCAAGTTACTTAATTTCTCCAGGCTTCAATCTTTTCTTTGTAAAATAAATGGGTTGGAAGAGGTGACCTCTAAAAGCCATTCAGTTCCAGATCTGTGCTCCCCTATTTATTATTCCCTGCTGCCTTGAGTTTGGGGATAGTTTTCCCCACCCTAGGGAAGTTAAGACACTTGTTAAGCCTCTCTCCATATTTACATCCAACTTGTCTCTTTCTCTCAGTTCCCACCACCACCTGCCCCTTTGCTCACATGTCTCCATCAACTTTAGGACCAAAATATTTCCCAGGGTTAAGATGGTGGACAAGACAGGTTGGCTGTGGGGCTCAGGACAGCTGGGAGATTGTAACTCAGCATGGCTGTGTTTGTGGCAGCCCTGGGAGAGCAATATTGCTTTCTTTCTGAGAGCGAATCTGGGAGGTGGCCCCCTCTCTACTGTCGGGGAGAGGCAGGGCAGCTGGCCCTCCTCTCTGTCTCCGTGGTTTTCTTTGCTGGTGTTAGATCCACTCTGTCTCGTTGCTTTAGCAGGCGGCTTTACCCTCAGCTGAGAATCAACTGGCCCCCTGAGCTCTGTAAACAACGTTTTTTGTTTTGTTTTGTTTTATAATCTTTTCCAGAGACCATAAATTGGAGGAGAGGGGAAAACAAGCTCACGTGGTCCTCAGCAATTCACAGAGGACATCCATAGGCATTTTTTTTTCTTTGCTAAGTTACTGGACATTTCAGGAGGCCAAAGGAGTCAGGCCGCCAAGAATAGATGCTAAACTCTGGTTTCCTTTCAGAAAAGATGAAAACGTGGAGGAGAATACAGGAAGTTTTTCACTCCCACTGCCTTAGAATGCATAAAGGGCGATACTTGCTGGGGACTGGAGGGCTGGGGAAATAAATACTCTTTACAAGATGTGACAAGGAGTTTGTTTTGATCAAGAGAGATCTGGCAATGCAGGGTGGGACCCAGAAGCTTTCTAGATTGGCCACTGCAGTGGAAGCATTTTCTTTAGGATCATAGATTTAGGGCTAGAAGTGATCTTAATTAACATCCCTCTAGCCCACTCCCTTCATTTTTCATCTGGGGAAATCAAGGCCCAGAGAGTGGCAGTGACTTGTCCAAGGTCATACAGTCACATGCATGTGGCAGAGCTGGGCACTGGAAGGGGAGTGACACAGAGTCCACGTGCCACTGGCTTGGTGCCTTTTCTTTTTTTTTTTTTTTTTCAGATCTGGCATATATGCCTGAGCTTCCTTCCAGTAGAGGAAGTTGCCAACTCTCATCTGTGGTTATTATCTCTTCCTGATGGTATTATCAACCTTTTATAACCGAGAGCACAGAGACTCAGAAAAGTTGTTGCTGTCCCACAATCACACAGCCTCAGTATGCTTCAGTGACAGGACGAACCTAAAGCTTGGTCCCTTGGGTAAATGCATCATTCATCTGTAGGTTGGGAGGGGATATGTATGATGACTTTGAATCTCTTCTAATTTAATGAGTTTGGAGACCCCATGGTTTCTACTCGAGTTCTAATTCGTGCTGTTTGCATTAAAGAATCACTGCAAAGCTCTTCTCAGTGCTTGGTAGGGGGGTCATTTAGATGGAAGTTCTGCATGCTGAATTTGGGTTTCCAGCCTCATCCCTTTCCCTCCCTCCAGGGCTTACACAAGGAAACTTGTTGCTGTAGGCTAAAACAGGAAACCCGATGCAAAGGCTGTGAAGCAAAATGCTGAAACTTCTGCCTTAAAAGAAACTGGTTTCTCGAAGAGCCCCGAAATATGAGCCTCTGCAGTGAATGACTGATTTTCAGAAGAGATGATCCTGGCTGTAGCTGGTTTTAAAAGACCCCTTTCTGTCCTTCATGCTGGTAAAGTTGCTGCATCTCTATTATTAGGCATAACATTGACAAGAGCACCATTGTGGGGCATATTCTCCAGTGCTATCCCTTAAAATCAGCCATTAGAGAATTTCTCATTTCTATACCTAGCCATAATAGCAAGTTAACGTTTATATGGCACTCTCTATGTCCCAGGCACCGGGCTAAGTAAGCACTTTACGTTTATTATCCCATTTGATCCTCACAACAACCCTGGGAGGTAGGGGGTATTATTATCTCCATTTTACAGAAGAGGAAACTGAGGCAAACAGAGGTTAAGTGACTTGCCCAGGGTCCCACAGCTAGTAAGTGTCTGAGGCTGGATTTGAACTCAGGTCTTCTTGACTCCTGGCCCGGTGCTTTATCCATTACACCACCTTGCTGCCTAGCCACAAGAAGCAGTATGTAATAGTGGATAGAGAGATGACCTTAGAGCCAAGAAGAACTGGGTTCAAGCCCCATTTCTGGCCCATACTGACCCCTGTCTGGCAAGTTGTTTAACCTCATTGACTGGGAAGGTGCCAGATTGCACCAGGAGAGGTAGCTTCCTCCCATAGGAGTTCTCTTTCAATGAAATCACAGGCTCAGTGTCCTTACTTAGCCAAATAAGCCAGCTCCCTCAGGCCACTGCCATCATTTTGGATGTCAGATTAGTTATGGAAAGAAATATGCACCTGGTGACTGGAGCTGTCCAAAAGGGAAGAAGGCTTCTTTGGGAGGTAGGGGGTTCCTCTGGAATGGATCTCTTGGAGCATAGGCTGCATAGTGAAACTTGATACATATAATTTCCCTTCCTTACACTCTGGTCCTTCTAGACTGACCTTCTTGCTGACCCTTACACAACACTTCATCTATCATCTCTGTTCCTTTGCACTGGCTGTCCCTCACACTTGGAATACACTCCTTCTTCATCTCCGCCTCTTCAATTCTTTTGTTTCCTTCAGAACTCAGCTCTGGCACTGCCTTCTACACAGACCCCTTCCCAGCATGCCTGTTCCCCTAGAGGCTAACGCCTTCTCATCTCAGGTTACCCTGAACATGTCTCGTGAACACTCATTTATGTTTATTTTGTCTCTCTCTTTAGACTATAAACTTCTTGAAGATAGGGCCTGTTTTCACTTTTTCTTTTTTCTCTAGTGCTTAGCACATAGTAACTGCTTACTAAATGCCTCTTCACTGAAAAAAAAAAAGCTTTCCTGATTCCCCAATTGCTGGTACTTCCCCCCCCCCCATAGACTCCTGAAAATTACCTGGCATTTATTTTGTGTGCACTTATACATGTTATCCCAAAAGTCTTCATGCACGCGCGTACACACACACACACACACACACACACACACAATGTCTCTCTCCCTAGCTTCGACTTCCTTGTAGGGACTCAATATTCCTGAGTCCAATTTAGCTCCTTGGATTTAGTTGCCCCATGAATTCTGACTAGACCTGGCACAATACTACTGTCTCAGATCATGATCTAGACCATGCCCTCTTTCCTGGAGTGGATTCTTTCCCTGGTGCCACGTTGATTGTCTGTTAATTAACAGCACCTCTGGTTCTGCCCTCTTCCTTGGGGGTAGTGGTTGAGCAGATATCATAATGCGGGTTTTGAAAATAATGTACTACATCAGTGTAGAAAATGAGATGTTCTCAAATGATTCATCTCTCCTTGCCTCTCCTCTCATCTCCTCTCTCTTCCTCTTCTCTCTCCTCCTCTCCTTTTCTTTCTTTTCCTCCTTTGTCCTGTCCACTTCAGATAAAACTTTTTTCTTTCTCTGTGTTGATGATTTCCCCGAGAAAACTAACCATACCAATGTTATCCAAAAAGCTGAAACTTGCATGCTAATGAATCTCAATTTCATTGTTCCTTTGATTGTCTGTCTAAAAGAGGAAATTAATTACATTGTTGGGGTCTTAGCTTACAAGTATTGGTGCTAACAGCTTGCTAGTTTTAGTCTATAGACAAACTGGCAAAAAGGGAGCATGGTATGATGGATAGAGTGCTGGGATTGTCATCAAGAAGACCTGAGTTCAAATTCTGGATCTGCTCCTTCTCATTTGTGTAACTTTGGGCCAGTCACTTAATCTCTGCAGGCCTCCATTTTCCCATCTGTAAAATGAGGAAGTTAGACCAGATGACCCATGAGGTCTCTTCCAGCTCTAAATCAACAATTCTGGGAAGCATGAGACACGTGAAAATCTCCTTTGACGGAGAGCGTTCCTAGGTCAGGATTGCCCCACACTGACAAAACCAAAGCTCCTTCCTAGACTTTGTATATGCATTCAAAGAGTGACAAGCAGTTGGCACAAAGTGGCAAACTCATTAGAAGTTGCCCTCCTGCCTCAGTCCTAAAAATTTC